TCGTGACATATGGGCCGGGAGATGGCTCAGTAGGATAGGCGCTTGACTGGCAAATGCAAGGATCTGAGTTCAATCCCCGGTTCCACCAAAAAAAAAAAAAAAAAAAAAAAAAAAGATCGTAACACATTGATTTCAAACTGGATGAAATAATGAAGAACTCAAAAGAATGATTAAAATGACAATGAATTCAAAGAAGATACAAATAAATAGCTAAATGAACTAGGAATACAATGCAAGATATAAAAGAGAAATTCAATGAAGAGATAGAGTCTGAGGAACAACCAAAAAGACATCTTAGAAATGAAAAACTCAGTAAATCAAATAGAGGGCATTTCTGAAAACCTTAACAACAGACTATATAAAGAAGGAGAAATATCAAGGCTTCAAGATCAGGTGGAAAAACAATCATGCTCGGATAATAATACAGGAGAGAGGGAGAGAGGGAGAGAGGGTGCCTGAACATGAACACGAACACGAACACAATATTCAAGATCTACAAGCCCGGTATAGTGATACTTGCCTGTAATCCCAGCACTCAAAAGGCTGGCACAGGAAAACCCCTGCAAGTTCAAGGCGAGCCTGGGCTACATAGCAAGACGTATGTCAAAACACAAAAAGAACAAACAAATAAAAAAATCTATAGGATACCATTAAAAGACCAAGTATACATAGAATTAGAATATATAAGGATGACAAACTAAAAGCACAGAAAACTTATTCAGTGGTATAATAGCAGAATATTTCCTAAACACTGGCAAAATACACATCTCTAGATACATGAAATACTTAGAAACCCAAATAGACATGATAGAAAAGAGCCTCTCTATGACAGGTTACAATTACACTGCCAGAAGCACAGAACAAAAAAGAGAAAATATAAGAGAAAAACATGAAGTCTCTTAAAAACACAAACTCATCAGAATATCCGATTTCGAAGTAGAAACTGTAAAGGCTAAGAAGGCAGGCAACGCTATATTTCATGTCACGAAAGAAAATAAATGTCGGGGTCGGGGAGATGGCTCGATGAAATAAGCACTACCCTGGCAAGCGCAAGGGCCTGAGTTTACTCCCCCTCCCCCGCAGAAAAGAAAAGAAATGTCAACCTAGTTTATTACATCCAAAATCATCCTTCAGAATTAAAGGATAATCAAAACATTCCAAGATAAGCATAAACTACAGGAATCAGTGCACTAAATCAGCATTGCATAAGTTACTAAGAAATCCTACATATAGAACAGGAAGTAAGATAAACACAAAACAGGAACATGAGAAAGAGTGAACCTCATTAGAAGAGTACCTACGTAAATAAGAACTAGGAAAAAAAAAGTGATTAAATCAGTAAACCATCAAAATTCTGAAGATAAATACAGGAGAAATAAGCATGTTTAAATAGATCATTTAAAACATTATAAACAAAAATAAGACCATGGGGCCGGGGAGATGGCTCAGTGGAATAAGTGCTTCCCTGGCAAGCGCAAGGACCTGAGTTCAATCTCCGGTTCCACCAAAAAAATAAAAAATAAAAAAAAAAAATAAGACCATGATGGCCTAAACCTAGACTCCATGATAAATTTTAGCTCACCCCAAAGTTGCAAAAACAGGTCTATGTGCAAAACAAGTAACCACAAGGAAGAAATGCACCCTGAGAAAGCACTGACCTTAAGCAATAACAGAAAGAAAAAGCCAGATGTATAGGAAGAAAAAGCCAGATATATAGCAAAAAAAGAAAAAAGAAAAGAAATCTGTTTGACAAGCAGGATGAGTGCTACATATTTTCATTTGCGGTTTTTCACTTTATATACCTCTCATGTCCTCTGCTCACGGCTGCTCAGTTGGACTCTGAAACAGGGGTCTCTGTTGATGGTTGCTGAGCTCAGTTAATAAAAGGCCTTCAAATCTTAATGGGATACTTGGATTCCTATATTAATTATGAACCCACAACAAATTCTCTTATATTAAAAGATAGATTGGCTGGCAGGACTTTTTTTTAAAAAGACCCCAAAATTCACTACCTTCAAAAACCCATCACCTCATCTGTAAAACCTTATGTAGGGGGCCTGCCCCTTAGCTCAGTTCTTTAAGTGGCTGCTTCAACAAAGCAGTCAGCCTCAGTTTGCTGTGATTTGATCCCCACAACTCAAGCCAACCAAATCTGCCCTGAAGGCATTTGGAGAAAAAAAAAAAAAAATCCTTCTATAAAACCTTATGCAGACTAAAAGTGAAAGAATAGAAACTGATACTCTAAGCAAGCAGAGCCTAAGAGCAAACAGGAATAGCTTATTTGTCTTTTAGGAATAGCTTTACTGACACAATCAGGACAAAGATGATCACTACATTGTGATAAAGTTCATCAAGAAAACATATAAAACATATACAGTTTAAGGGGGTCTTATGGGTTAGCTCAGTTATTTAAAGTGCCTGCTTGGGCAAACTCAGTCAGGTGCACAGGACCATGGTTCAAACCCCAGCTTCACATGCTGCACCAGACCTGCCCGTAAGGTAGCCTGAGTCAGCCAAAGAAAAAAAGAATCCTTCTCAAGTTTAGGGCCAGCCTGATAGCTCAGCAGAATAAATCACCTGCTCAGGCAGAGCACAGGAGCTGGGGTTGAATCCCGGAGTGCCGTGCCAGCCCCACCCACAGGGCGTGCAGAGACAGTGATTGAGACTGGGCGTGGTGATGTGCACCTATAATCCCAGTACTCAGAAGGCTGAAAACAGGGGAATCACTACAAATTCGATCTACATAGTGAGACCCTGTAGGCCCTGTAGACCCTGTCCTAAATACAGAAAAAAAAAAGGGGAGAGAAAACATATACAGTTTTGTTTTGTTTTGTTTTGTTTGCGGAACTGGGGATTGAATTTAGGCCCTTGCACTTGCCAGGGAAGCGCTTATTCCACTGAGCCATCTCCCCGGCCCCGAAGAGTCGTGAAGGGGGCATGAACTGGCAACCTCGCGCTCTAAAGCCCAGTGTGGAAACCGCTGCACTAGGTTACCACCATATATATATATCGCTTATGCAACTTTGCATTCCTGAGGTGAGGACAGTTCCGGAAAGGTAGGTCCAGCATCCATACATACAGTTTTTAAAACATTCAAATTCTACTGGACATAAAGGGAGGAAAGGGAGAGACTCAAGCCCCAGTACAGTAATAGTGGGTAACTGTAATACTCAAGTCACATGACAGATCATCTAGACCAAGAAAGAAAGAAAACACGCACACACGCACAAAGAAATATCTGGGCTAAACCATAGATCAAATGGTCTCAACAGGTATCAACAGAATATTCCATCCATAAGCTTCAAACCGTATTCTTTCCATTAACACATGGTATAGTTTCTAAAACAGGGGCCAGGGATATAGCTCAGCGGCATAAGCACCTATTTGGCAAGCACAAGATCCTAAATTCAATCTCCAGTACCACCCACAAAAAAACGAAACAAAACAAAACACTAGACTAAGAATCACACAGATATCAAAGGATTGGAACTGTTGGTAGAGTTCTGCTGTTGGCGCAGTTTAAGTTGGCAGTCACTTTGGAACATTTTTCAGTAGAATATATTTAATTAAATGCCATGAATCATCATTTCTACTCCTACGCAGAGAGAACGCACCAAAACAATTTACAAGAATATTAGTAGGAGTAGCTGAAATAGGAAAATTGTAGTTGCTACTAGGAAGAATTGAGAGAATACTGATATGACAAAAAGCAGGAAGGAGGATTCTGGGTCATCACTGATGATTCCTTTCTTAATGTAGACAGTACTTAGTTGCTAATTCATTCATCTATAAAATTTTCATGTTTAATCTTATGTTTTCTCAATAAAATAAAATTAATCAAATAAAAGATGTTACAAAAGAGCAAAATATTGAAATGTGTTTTGTGTATACCAATTCCCTACAATGAATAAACCATGATGCACTCACTGAAAATATTAAGAGCAGAAAAGAGAGGATAAAAGGGCACTGGGAAACACTTCAGGGTATCTAACACGGTAATTATGTTGAATGAGGTGTTGGCTTCATGGGTGTGTACATAACATAAAAAATATACTTGACATGCAGTATACACTATTATATCTCAACAAAGTTGTTAAAAATGTAGGAGCCATCTAAAACTGTGGTTAAAAAGGAAACACACGTAAACAGGTAAAGAGACAAAAAATTCATTAGCATAGCATCAATATCAATAGTTTAGAAAAGGAAAGTAGACCATGACTCATCCACATAGCGACACACTGACAAAGGTTCTACAATCTGACGTACAGGATCTCAGGATAAATCCTGAGGGGATTTCACTGACCTTATCAGATCCAAAAGCTACAACTCTTGTTGCATAGGTCTTGCTTTACCTTGGTCTTAACCATCCAGCAGAAAAGTATAAAAATGAAGTATAAGAAGTAAAGCCATGCTGTTCTGTTGAGCTGTAGGGGACTCATGTCAACAATTTCTGACAACCCTATTACGGGCTACTGGATTCTTTTAGAATATTTTGCTGAGTTTACACACCTATAATATTCAAATAATGGAACAACAAAAAAAGGGTATACGGATGTATGTCCATTTTGTATCTGTGTATTCAAAGTGGTTAGGATAGATATATGGTTACATTCTCTTAACAAATAATGATTTGTTCTAATGGTGTTTGTGAATAGGATATCATGTCCTCATCTAGTACAGCAATTAACCACTAGGAAGAATGTATGCAAAGTGTTAATTATTGAAACTGTCCTACCAATTTGATTTGAAACTGTCTCCTTTCTATTTGTTTATCAATAAAATTATGGAAAAGAAAAAAAAGGAAAGTAGAAGAAAAAATTCAAAGTAAAACAACATTTAAAGTTATTGAAATGAACATACCACAAAACATAAAAAAAATCACACCACCATTCTGCACTGGGAATTGAACTTAGGGTCTCACATTAAGCTCCATTCTTCACCATTTTTTATTGTTAGTCATGCTACTTGCCAGGCTGGGCTCAAACTCACAATCCTCCTACCTCAGCCTTCTCAGTAGCAGGGATTACAGACATGTCCCATCACATCTTGACAAAAGATAGTTCTTTAACAGAAAAAAAAAAGAAAGAAAGAAAGAAAGAAAGAAAGAAAAGAAAAGAAAAGAAAAGAAAAGAAAAGAAAAGAAAAGAAAAGAAAAGAAAAAGGGCTGGTGAGATGGCTCAGTGATCTAAAGCACCTACTTAGAACAAGCTTAGCAAAGGACAGGGACTGCGGTTCAATCCCCCAGCACCACATGCCAGCCAGTCCCTCCCCCTGGTGGGCTGAGCTGGCCACACACACACACACATTCATTAACTAAATAAAAGCTCTAATAAATTTGATAAGAAAAATTCATAATCAAGTATATACTTTCTAGTTGTAACATATGTATGTATATATTTCGTTATGTCTCACCAAAAGGGATACCTTGGAGAAAAGCACTGTTACGTGCTTCCATCACTGTGCAAACATCAGTCTACTTACACAAACTTAAGTGGTATAGCCTGCTCCACAACTAGGTTATATGCCATGCCACCATTATATATGAAGTCTATCAATGACCAAAATGTCATTATATGGTACATGGTTGTATGCTATTAAACTATAGTAATCAGTGTAGAATTCACAATGAAATGAATAAATAGAGGTGTGTAGAACTAAAAATAAAATTCTTAAAAAGAACCATGTTTTATTATTTTTTATTAATTTTATTGAGAAACAAATAGCAATGAGACAGTTTCAAATCCAGTAAGTGGGACAGTTTCAATAATTAATACATTGCATATTGTTGTCTTCATAGTGGTTATTCATAGTACAAGATGCAGACATGATATCCTGTCCAAACACTATTAGTACAAATATTTCTTCTCATTGAATTAAGAGAAAGTAGCTGTATGTCTATCCTAACTATTTTGTATATACAGATACAAAATGGTCCTTCATTTGTATGCCTTTTTTTGTTTAGTTTTGTCAGTGATGGGTATTCCATTGCCATTTAGAACCACATGTTTTAGACACACAAATGACTCCAACTGCAGAAAAAGATACATTTTCCAACGAAAGCTTCTATGCAATGGGCTATCTGTCTAGCAAAAAAAAATCCTACTGTATCCTTTCTTTATTCATCCTAATAAATCACTTTCAAAGGTAAAATAGCTAAATATAAAGGCAAATTATAAAACACTCTAAAATTGTTATAGGAATTCTTTCTTAAATTCATACAACACAATATTTAAAATATAATATTCATGTTAGGCTATATGAAATAAAAGTTCTCATCAAAAATAAAATCAGTAAAGAGTACAAAGAAAACTGGCAGAGCAGAAAAACTAATTCCCTTACATATGACCAAACACTTTCTATGAGAGTGGGAAAGACAGACACCCCAGGAGAAAAGCAAGAAACTTGAACAGCCACTTCATATAGGAGGCATCTGTTCAATAGTCCTTAAGAAAGCTCAGCCTCATTAGAAATTAAAGTATGTAATAACATTATATAGATAGGAAGGAATAAATACATGAAACAACTGAACTCTCATGATGTTATAAATTGTTACCTACCCTGGAAAACCAGGATACTCCCATATCCCACACGTACATTTACAGAACTTTTGCACATGTATAACATAGTAACACACGAGGATACAGCAGCACTATCCAAAGTACTGAAACCCAGGAATTAGGAGTAAAGGACACACACTCAAGAACAGATAAATAATGTATGAGGCATTTTTTATATGTCACCTTATTCTAGGTCTTGTATGTCCAGTTTAACCAATAGTAGAAAAAAATACCAAATATCTTTCATATAGATGTCATTCTACCTAATCCTTATCAGGTCAATGGAGTCAACAAACAACAAACTCTCCCTGGAATGGAAGGTCAGTACTTCCCACTCCTGCTTCCCCAGCTCAATACAGTGACAACTTCCCATTACACATATATATTTTACAAAAGAATTATATAAAATTTATGAAACAGATTTACAGAGAATCTAAGATTAGACTATACATGCCATCTGTGTAGATAAAACTCATCATTAGAAACATGACCATTTCCCCTCATCAAATATAATCTATGTAGTCCTGGCAAAATTTCAACATGTTTTAAGGAAAGAGAGCAAAACCAAAAATTCTAAAATGCAACTGATTGGTAAATATATACGAAATTATCCAGGAAATATCTGAATTACACGAGCCATAGGGGCAGCTATCATTGTCCATCATGTGTGAGTGTAATATTTCAACAATAAAGATCAAGAGATCACAATAAAAACACCATTTGTAGATGAATCCATACAGATGCAGGGAATATTTGCATTATTAAAAACAACAGAAAGGCCAGTATATAACCAATCATATCAAGAATGACATTAAATGTGAATAGAGTAAACACAATCAAAAGACAGCTGTTGGGTCTGAGGGAAATAGCTCAGTGGCAGAATATGCATCCACAAAATGCAAGGCCCTGGGTTCAAACCCTAGTACTCACTCCTGAAAAGCAGCTAATAGTATAATAGGAAGAACTGTCCCTCCCTCTACCCATGGCCATACTGAAGGAACATCTCCTTATGTGTGAGTCCCTCTGAGAATGTCATAGAAGAAGCAAGAGGCAACTGGGAAAAAAACAAGAACATCACACGAGTAGGAAAAGCTAAGGCACACTTAGGCATGACTCCTACATGAGACAATGCACCATATAACTGAGAAAGAATCTTCAACACCCAGAATCACCCTGGGAAGTGAGATATACATAGTAGCCTAACTCTATAGAGCTCCCTGTCATTTGGATCTCAGCTCACCTAATGCATGGGGAGCATGACCATAAGCCATACAGAAATCTATTGTTGACTATACTCATGCAGGTACTTCCACATGCTTCACACTCTGGGTCAGGGCAGACAAGGGGTTAAAACTCAACAAGTCAGTTTCTCTTTGGAAGGGATTACTGACCACTGACAGCTTAGTTTCTATTTAGTCTTGTTCAGTTTTATGGAGTCAACAAACTACAATCTTTCCCTTGAGTGGGAGCTCAGCACTTTCTAATCCTGTTCCTGAAGCTCAATCCAGGGACAATTTCCTATCAGCTCCTCCTGGAAAGAGTCTGTCCATGCACTGAGTGCTGCAACTTGTAACACCTTCCATTTGAGGGAATGCATCTTAAACTCCCAAGCTCTGGAAGCCAAGTGTCATGGACATGTGTATATCTCCCTGCATCACAAGTAAGTGGTTTGCAATGAATGTGCAAGCTCTTTCTTGAACTGCAGTCCCCAGCAGTAGTGGAGAAAAGGTTAAAAAGTGCAGATTCCCATTTATTCCTGGATGAGCAAACCAGCATACTCTCCCAGTGGCTCCTCAACAATCTAGATTCTAACTAGTTTGTCTGGTGGATACAGTGCAGCAAATAGCAGACCTTCTGCAGCCTGAGCACAGCTGTTAGAATGGCCATTATCAAAAAACTGAAAGACACCAAGTATTTCAAAGACATAGGTATGGAAAACAGAACCCAGCACGTTATGGATGTGAATTTAAAGTTAGTACAGTATAGCCATTTTGGGCCATAGTGTAAAAATTTTTCAAAGAAATAAAAAAACTGGGCCGGGGAGATGGCTCAGTGGAATAAGCGCTTCCATGGCAAGCGCAAGGGCTTGAGTTCAATCCCCGGTTCCAATAAGGGGATGTATTCAAAAGAATTGAAATGTGAATGCGAAGAGATGGCTGCACTCTCAGTTCACTGTAGCACTATCGACAGCAGTGAGGTATGGAAAGCCTTTTCCAAGAGGGCACCAAGCAGGCCTGCAGGGCTCCACCCACACCTCAGGCTCTTTAGCTAGAGGGGCCTAGAGACTAAGACGAATTAGACACTCCAAAGGCCAGCGACACAGCAGTGGGACAGTTCTGAAAGCCAGATCCCGAGAAAGATGGAAGGGCTTTTGATATGTTACCTGTAAAGTCTCCAAGGGGGAAGCTTAACCGAAAGACATTCTTTTGGACAAAAGGAAAGACACAGACACAAATTTTTTAAACAAGGGGTCAAGTGATCCCCTTCTACTTTTCGTTCGTACGAAACGTTCACAAACAGAAAACAAATGTTTTAAAAAGCAACACCCAATACTTGGAGAAAAAAAAAAAAAACACGAAACTACTGTGTTTTGAAACATAGCCTGAGAAACTATCAATCGATAATGCTGTGGAAAGAGAAACTTGGCCTTTAAGAATTTGGTCGGGGGGGTCGGGGAGATGGCTCAATGGAATAAGCGCTTCCCTGGCAAGCGCAAGAGCCTGAGTTCAATTCCCGGTTCTGCAATAAATAAATAAATAAAAATACAAAAAGAATAAAAGAATTTGGTCAGGGAGCTCGGTGTCAGGCTTCTCTCGAGGATTTTTGCGGTCTGCACCACGCAACCAGGAGAGGGGAGGGAGACAGAAAGGCAACCCGCGAGGGGCAAGGTCACCGTGCAAGGAGAGCACAGGGGCCCCGGCGTCGACCGCAGCCTAGGACACCGAGGCCGAGCCGCCCAGAGAAGTCACCAGGCAGGAGGGAGCAGGGCCGCAGGTGTCGCCCGCAGCCGAGCACGCCGAGGCCGAGCTGTCCAGAGCAGACTGGGACCTGCAGACTCCGGAGTGGACCTCGGAGAGGCCCGATCCCGCACGGCCGGTTCCCTTGGCTCCAAGCAGCCGCCCTCCCAGTCCCGGGACTCTGGGCCGCACACTCACCATTTCCGGGGTCTCCGGCGTCCTCCCTGTGGCTCTTGCACCCCTTCAAGTAGCAGGACGAGAAAGGCGGCTGAAGGGACTTAGGACACGCAGGACAACGGAGCAGAGCAGAAGACGCCAGTACACGGACCGCAAGATTGGCGGGCTCCACACAAAGGCCCGTGACACGGTAAAAGCCTCTGGCTGTGTGCCTGATTGGGCAGGCCTCGCCTAAGTGTCTCTGATTGGACAGCCTTCTGGCCCCACCCCCTCAATGCCTGGGCAACAGCAGGCTACACCAACCCCAGGCCAATTGAAGCCAGGATGCCAGGTTTGGGGTTATAGCTTTATTTATTTATTTTCTGGTGCTGAAGGTTGAACCCAGGGTCTTTGGCTGTCCCAGTTTTAAGGCAGAACCTCCTGCAGGTGCGGAACTTCATTCACCAGGAATATCTTTGCATTTAACTTTGTGTGTATCAGTTAATAGATTATGTATGTGGGTATTGTTGGCTATATTAATATATTATTCATTCCTGATTATATTAAGAATATAGGGGCCGGGAAAATGGCTCAGTAGGATAAGCGCTTGACTGGCAAATGCAAGGATCTGAGTTCAATCCCTGGTTCCGCAAAAAAAAAAAAAAAAAAAATGTAAAGAATATAATGACAATTATTTTTAAGTTCAGTTAGCTTCTCTGATATCTGATCTGTTGAGGAGGCAGCTTGAACTTTGAAATAACAGTCCACCTCCTAAGGCAGTGACATCCAATAAAAATAAAATGTGAAACACCAATGTAATTTTAAATTTATATTTAAAATATTAAGAGTTGGGGGCTGGGGAGATGGCTCAGTAGAATAAGTGCTTGCCTGGCAAGCACAAGGGCCTGAGTTCAATCCCTGGTTCTGCAAAAATAAATAAATAAATAAATAAAAATAAAATAAAATATTAAGAGGTGAAATTTTTGTAATAACAGTGTAATACACTCTAAATATTATATGTGATCAATATAAAATTATTAATAAGTATACACACATCAGCAGTTTGCCATACTGATAAATGTCTGGAAGTTGACAGCCACAACTATGAGCACCTCTTGTAAGTGTAGAGGCCAAAGATAACGTCTATTAACCTCATGATGTCTCAAAAAATTTAGTATAGGGGCTGGTGAGATGGCTCAGTGGTCTAACGCACCTACTTAGAACAAGCTTAGCAAAGCACAGGGACCGCGGTTCAATCCCCCAGCACCACACGCCAGCCAGCCCCGCCCCCTGGTGGGCTGAGC